CCAATTGGCCATAAGTTGCTTCCATCTGGATAAAAACATTATTTATATTCAAATGTGTCGTCATGTATTCATCTTGGCCACTTTTCAGTTGCATGAGTTACCAAATAATGCAATTAAATGTTTATTTTCATGAAAATCCTTTCTTTGTTTACCTAGAGGTGGCAGATGATTAAGTAAACATCCATCCTCGCTTAACCTTGTCACCATCAAATACCCTAGTCGTACACGAGGCAACTATTTTGTTTCTCATATCAGGGCTTGAGAAGACGCCGGTGGCCGCTTTGCCCCAGGGCATGGGGCAAAGTGGCCAATGTGCATAGGTTTAAAGTTTTGTCAATATCTTTCATATGTGAACGCCTTTGGAAATAAAACACAGTTGAAATAAAAGGCAACTTAACCCGCGCCCCGTAGGGCTACCGGCGGACCCTACCACCCGTAGGGGGGGGGGGGGCGTTTCGGCCCCCCCCCCCCCTAAGATCACGGAAAGTTACCGGCCGATTTTCAAAATTCAAACGGCGTTCGATAGCCCCACCCGGGAACTACCTTGTGACCAAATTTCATTGACCTAGGTCAAACCGATGACGTCACAGGTCAGGTCAAAGGTCAGATTTTCACCGTTCACAGGCAATTCAAGAAATGTGCTGTGAAAGCGAGTAAATTGGTAATTTATTGAAAACCATCGATGGTACATTGTTCGTCAAACACATACTTTGCTATCTGAGGTCACTGATACCAGGTCAGGTCACAGCGAGGTCAGGTCACCGGGGGTCACAATATGAATGTGTCGTGTGATACATGTTTTATGGTCCATTTTACATGACAAATGCGATTATGTGGGTTAGGCAGCCTTTCGGGCCAGCCTAGGTCGTTTTTGTGAAGGTCAGGTCAAGGTCAGGTCAAATTAGGTCAAATTTCAAAGTTGATATTTTTGCATAAAATGGGTATCGATTCGATGCAGCTCGTCACGGGGAGTCTAATGGTGATCTTCGTTTTGCTCTACGAGTTCTAGAATTGCCAAAAATTGAGTTTGAAAATTTGACGTCATCATTTTTGAACAGTTTTTTTCGCTATAACTTGGCCAAAAAACGAGGTATCGATCTGAAATTTGGTATGTAGATAGAAGACGGTAGGCACTATCACATATGTTCCGGTTTTTCGAAACTCAAAAACTTTTTGGATTTTTTGGCGAATATATCCAAAAAATGCTTTTTTGATTTTTGGGGGTCAAAACTCAAAAATTTCAAAAATTCGAGATAGCAGTTTTGTAGCCCTGTCAATTCTACACCTTTTATATCTTGATCATTTTTCTGTATCTTCAAAGCTGTAGTCCTGACAGGTCTTCTCATGAAGGTCTTTTTTCGGTCGAAAATGACAGAACATGACGTCACTCTGACGTCATTTGTGGCCAACCTATCATAGCCTCTGGAAAAAAATTTTTGGTCACAATGTGTAAAATTGATGCCCAGAGGGGTCCTGAAAGTTTGGTGGCGATATCTCCAGCCGTTTAGGAGATATCGACCGAAAAGGACGGGGGGGGGGGGCCGTTTCGGCCCCCCCCCCTACGGGGCGCGGGTGAAAGGGACCCTCCCACCTTAACATTAGTTTTGAGTTGAGATAGCCAAGTTTGCGGCCAGGCTCAGAAGCCACCATTTATCCTGGTCGCAACCCCCGCAGCTTTATGGTGTTCAATAAATTTCTTCCCTTTACTTGCAGGGTGGGACCAGCGTGGTCCCTATCTCTTAACCATTACGGGAATCTGATGACGTCATCAGGCTCTCGAGCGTCCGTTAAATGTTTGACTAAAACGTTTTGTAGCACGCGGTGGTATATGCTGCTTTGCGCGCAACAAATGCCGCACTTTCAAATAAAGTCGCTAGGAACAGCGGAGATCCCAAAAAGTAAACAAAAGTAAAAGTCTAATATCTTGAAAACCGGTTAATATTTTTCGATGAAATTTGGTAGATATTCGTTTTTGCTCTTTCTGAACCGAGCGACATCACTTTCATGCCAATTCATTAACTTTTTTGAAGGTGGGAGGGTCCCTTTAATAGGGATCACATTGGTATAGAAAGAATCTTTCCAAGTTTAAAAATCAAGCGTTGGTATCGTGAGAAGCGTTAGGGTGGCCGCTTTGCCCCACTCTCCCCTATATGCAAAATTGATCAATGCGAGGGTAGTGAAAGTTTCGTCGCGATCAGCCGCTTTTTACGTTAGTTATTCGCGGAAAACCTTAGGGGGGTTGCATCACCCCTGTGCCGGCGAGGGTTTTAACGAACGTGTTCGGCAATTGTGCCCTTTGCAACCTTTTGGAAAATTGATCATATTAAACTGCAAAATGCAAGTCAGTTTTTCTTGATTGTTTTAAAATATAACAAAATGATCAGGTAAAAGTTTGTGAGGGGAGGCAAATCGGTATCTTTTGTAATTTCGGAGCCATGGCTCGTTGGTGGCCGACGACCGGCGCAGGCCGGGCCAGCTAGGTCAAATATTGACCTAAAGTAAAAAAATAATATGCTCAATAGCGATATCTCGTCAAGAGCAATGCGCTGGGTTTTGTCGTGAGGCTCTATAGGAGGTTTCGTTTAGCAACAGCAGGGGATGCACCAACGAACCTCCGCTGTGGCCAAGCCGCCCGCCCGCTCTCCGCGGCACCCGACCGCACCGGACGAGAACTTTAGTAGCGTCGGTCTTTCACGCTGCGGCTCAGAAATGACTAGAGAAGGCTAAGGGATGGTGGACTAACGGGCACACAATGTGTAAATTGCTGTAAGTCAAAGAAAGTAAAAACTTTTTAGTAAAAAAGTGCGATTACAATATGATGATAAATAGTTGAATTGCCGCCAAATTAAAACAGATACGACTTTTGAGTTTTGTCACCGGGCATTAGAAGCAGCAGGCTTTGGGGATCATTTTCATGGATAGTTTTTTTTGCAGTTTGTGTGAAATGAACGCACACTAGCGACGTTTTAACTTGCAAGTAGGTACCTACCTGACAGTCATTTTACGAAAATAAAAATGTCACATCTGACGATTCTACACAGGCCGGTTTTAACAACAACATGAAAATCATGTTTTTCAGACACCCCGACCAGTTCCCTGGCTGGCCATATTACGATTTATTCGATTACCTTAAGTTGAGTTTTGGGTCATTTGGACATTATTTATGGGCCACTCGTGAGCCCATTTGCATCACTGATAGTCATATCCGCCATGCAGTTCCCGCAAATATCGCATGAAGTTACTGAGACTTAGTTACATGAGATTGACTGCAAGCCAAATTTTAAGCGCACTGGCGTACCTGTAACATGTTCATTTTTTTTCTCAATTTCCATACAGGTTGATGTTAGTGCTGGTCACCGAGTCAGCCCACCTGACCATTGATAAAGCTGTATAGCCTGTAGAAATTTCGTGACAGCTGTTGGGAGACAGCGTCCTTGAGCGTGTGAGGGCTGCACTGTGACCGCTGTGTGGCACAGCCACTCGGCACCCACGGACGGACGGTGCAGCGCAGCCGATACGGTCACTGCGCTGACAGCGCACCTTTTGACCTCAACACACCGTGTCCTTTTTTCCACAAATTTAGCTCGAATGCTGGAGTGGACGGACTGACAGAGCCGGAGCCCACGCTAAGCAGAGCTTGTTGCGTAGACCCCGACCCCTACCGTCCGATCGCGCAATTCCGGTAACGGGAGGATCTACTTAGATGCCAAAGATTAACGTGCCCTTCAAAGCCGGGCATGGTCCGTCCCAATCAACTGACTTCAAGTGGCTGCGGCTGCTCCCACCAACCGCAGACCATCCCCGTCAGGAGTTTCAAATATCGCGCGCCGGCCGCCGGGGCGACTCGAACCCTGGCTCTCACTACCGGGTAAGTACCTACCGGGAGTCCGTATGCGGCGGAACGGGGAGGGCACCGGGGCACCGTGCCCCCCTTTGATTTTGGCATTTTAACATTAGCCCTATGGGCGTTGCATGGAAAGAATGGGAACAAAAGTCGGCAGTGCCCCTCCCCCCTTAATTGAAGGCGCTTTGCCGCTACTGCGGGAGTCCCACGCTGTGCCAACTGAGCTATGATACAGGCTCCTATAAGTTGGTACCAAATGAAAAATAGGCGGAGACTTTTTTATAAATTTAGTCCGACCTTTTGATAGGAAGGATTCACAAGGACAGAGCCACCGCTAAGCGAAGCTTGTTGCGATGACCCTGCCCTCTACCCTCCGATCGCGCATTTCCAGTTCTATGGCAGAATTTAGAGTTCAAAGTTAAACGTGCGCACATAGCTGCGCACGGCCGGTCCCCTCACTGACTTCGCCTGGCTAGTGGCTACTGGCTACTGCCTGCCATCAACCGCAACCATACCTGTCAGGAGACCCATAAATGTCAACGCCCGTCGCGCTTCGAACCCGGACTGTTATAACCGGGAACGCTTCAACGCGTGCTCTATTTGTAAGAATCTTGGCTCTCACCACGCTGAGTTCAACGCTCTACCAACTGAGCTACGGGACCGGCATAGTCTTGTATGTCGGTCCCGAAGACTTGATGATGATGATAGACTTGATGGATGAATTTTGTTTGGTTGAGTAAGAAGAAGAAGAGATGGGTTAGGCTATCGAACACTTTGCACGACTTCCAGTGAGGGAGTGTTTCTAATTTTATCAGCATACCTATTTATTTAGTAGTCGGTTGCTAGTTGGACACGTATTACCGTTGAATGCGTAGATGACGCATCAAATACAATTTGCAAATGTTCAGATTTACTAGTTTATCCTGCGCTTAAAGATATATTTTGCAAAAGGGAAATAATTTTAAGAAGATGCTATGTATGAAGCCAATTGCTAACGTTTATTTTTTATTGCCAGATTCTTTTAGGATTGAAATTTTGTCGCTGAAATATCATTGTCATTGTATCACCGAAAATACCGAAAATAGTGCTAGCGTTGCTAGGCAACTAGCTGCCTTCAACAAAAATGCTTTCGTGAGCCATTACGGCTGAACAGTCTTCTCGTATTCCCTTTGCAGTTTGAGTGCAGAGTGTTGAGTTTGTGTTGAGTGGGCGAAGTTGAGAGTTGAGGTGGCGGAGGACGTGGATTTCCGTCCCGGTGCTGCGAGGTTGAAACGATTGAAATAAGAAGGGCCTAAAAAGGGAAAAAATATTTGGAATAGGTAAGTTTGTTATGTTGCAGATTTATTCATACTAAAGATAACGTGGTACCTAATGAAAATGGTAGGTACAAGGTAGTTTATCATGGTAAATATCATGGCTCGACATTTATGGGCCTCCTGACAGGTCAGTCCCACGCACAAGGGGGAAAAGCTCAAATTATTGAGCGCTCAAAATATTGAGCGTGTGACGTCAGAGGCTCCCATAGGCGTAATGCTGAGGGCTCAAAAAATTGAGCCGTTTCAGGAACACGTTTTGCAAAAGCAACTCGCAACACCTAGGGAGAAATCGCAACACCCTAGGAGAATCACTAATGATGCAAAACAGATTAGGCTTTCATATTTTTCACTGCTCAAGCTTCAATGATTGGGGGAACACCAATTTATAGGTCGAAATCTTACGGCATACCAGGATGCCTTAAAAACAGGCCAATATTTATGTCGAAATAAAAGTTATTTTTTGTCCATTCACGTTTTTTACTAGGGTTCTGTTGGAAAGAGCATTTTTCATACTACCCAAAATGATTGCGATTCAATTTCACATTACCCATATCGAGTATATTTTTCATTTGGCGGCGCCGTTTGTTTATTTCGTCGCGACGTCTCCGGTAGCGTGGTTGTCGTCGTCCTTGTGTTGAGGGTAAGTTTTTATCGTTTTAGTTGTACTTAGATGTTAAAAGGTACACTGAAAAGTTTGAATATGCTGTGATTTTAAATTTGGAAACACGTAAACGTCAATCAATTCACGTTTTCCTCGATTTGCGTGCAGATAAGTAACTGTCGACGAAAGTGGCGCCATCCGATATGATGTTTTGAAGGAAGGAGACACAACATATTTACGTGAAAATTTTTGTTTTTTAGTGGTCTAAGTGCTTCAAAGAGGCTGTGAATGTTTTCTTCACACAATTTTTCATTAGTTATGATGAGGTAAAAGGTAGTTTCAGTCTTAACTTTCATATAATTGACATTAAAACATATGATAGTCCACTGCTATCAGTGATTGAGTACCTTGATATTTGGCATTTCTTATTAATTTGAATGTATTCTCTATCCATATGTCCTGATAGTAAGTGACAATACTCTGCCAATATGTTTCCATAGTTTTCACATTCATTTTCCAGTCCTTTACATAACATCACAATTTATAATCAACAAAACTCAACTCCTTCATTACTTCACAACACTGACAGCATGACAGACTGACAGTCAACTATTGTGTGGGTGAATGCTGAAACAGGATAGCCACTTTGCTGACTGGCTCGCTCATATGAAATAAGATAAAAATGATCCTTTATATCATTTCCATCTGGAGGATCGGAGTCAACGGAAAAGGAAGGCCACTTTCAAGCCTCAAGGTCCAGGCCGCCAGACGCCAGTCGGCAGTCACCACCAAATTTATAATCAATTAATTCATTATTATACTTTGAGACCCTTAGGTCACTGGATCAGCATCACATTTTCAGTTTCAATATAGTAAAGGTTTTTATTTGTATGATGTGAAATATTTTCCTGAATCAGAATTTAATTATCCCTAGGTACCTGGTAGAGGTTTTGGATTTAATGCTCATTGTTGGTGTGCAGTCAGGATTTTTTGACAGGTCCAGATAGGGAATCCTGAGCAATTTTATAGTAAAGTGGTCTCCTTATAATCACCACACATTTTATCAAAAGCATTTGCAGAATTCATTCAATGAAGAATTTTATCAATGTTGCACCCATTTCTTAGACGACCTAGGCTGCATCTCTTTTTTAGTTCCTGTTGTGTGACATATTTTCCGTTTTGTTCCACTGCATAAAGAAAAAAATCGTTTGAGATCACCAAACAGCTTTTCTTTTTCTGGCAGGTCTGCACAACCAAGCGGTCGCTGGCGAGGACGTCGGCCGTCTCTGTGGGTAAGGTCATCTGCTCAGCCTTTGTGGAGATCAGCAAGACGTCACTAAGATGAAGACTTCGCTGGAGCAGAAGCCGCTGACCCGTGTCCGATCGGGCAGGTCATGCTCGACGGCACGAGCCACAACTCGAACGACTCGGGGACATCAACAACATGGTGGAGCAGGTGAATGAGTTTGGCGACGTGTTGTGCGACTGCAAGAAGGGTTGTCTGCGTGTTCTGGCCGGCGGAGCGGCGACGCTGCGCAGTCTGTGCTGGCGGTGAGCAGCTGGCCGTGGTGATCGCGCGCGCCCACATGCGCCGACAACCTGTGCGGCTTCGACGGCCCGGGACAGCCCGATGCCGCCCACTATGCGACGCCGACCGCGCACTGTCCGCACGGCCACATGGAGGTGTGCCCGCGCCTTTTGCCCGCACGCCGCTACCTCGCAGCTGGTCTGCAACCACGCCGTCGCCGCCTGTAGCCCGATAACAAAACGGCTGTCTGATAATGCCGCGTGTTCTTTGTGATGTTGCTACTGTGATCGTTGCTACTGCTGGTCTGAGACTCGATGTTTCCATTCGTCTTTTACATGTTAAGGATTTGATAATGATAAGCTTAGTCCGAGCTTAGGTCGTTTATATCATTTGTTATATGGCATATTTTGGATCAAAGCAGTACGACACTGCCTCCTGCTTTTGTGATGTATGCTGGCAAGACGCAGGTTCCGGTCGCAGGTCACCCGGACCCGGTTCCAATGTGGTCGGGCTGGCATGCGATAATGTGATGTTGTCTTGCTCGTCTCTGTTCCACACTTGATGATGTTTGTGAATCTAACCCACATTGTATAGTATTTTTGTTTGTTTGCGGCCGATGGCCTTGTAAGTTGTAACCGTGGCAATACAGTTTTTCCTGCTATAATTCTCCAATATTCAAGGGTGGGTGGATATCTCTGTATTCACGTATTCCCTTCTCCCAGTACAGTCAGAGAATGGGCCTGTTCCAGCGCCTCCAGAAGAAATTCTTGACTGGAGGCTCTACCAGAGGTTTTACTGGAGGCGCTGGAACGCAATCTGGAGATTTCTGGAGATTGGCGTCATAGATACCAAAAGAATGACAATTGTTCTCTCTTGAAACACAAAATTTGTTTTCAATTTTAGTAAAAAAGATTAACAAAATTATAGCAATGTACTTTTCTTTACATTCAAGTTGTAAAATTATCAGTCAAAAGTTCTTTGTTTACGTTCGTGATTGTCACATGTGCGCCATAATTGTAGACCAGAGCCTCCAGAGAAATTTGGACCTCCCAACTCTCTGGAGGCTACTGGAGGTTACTGGAGCTTTGGCGAGAGCTTTCTGGAGCTTTCTGGAGGCGCTGGAACGCTCTCTGGAGGATTCTAGAGCTTTCTGGAGCTTTCTGGAGGTTTCTGGAGGCGCTGGAACAGGCCCAATATCAATTACAGTATTCATACGGATTATTCAAGCCTTGTATAATTATTTAAGGTGTGCCGAATCCGAAAGACCGATAAAACTATTAGCGGAAAATGTGACATGATGCCATGGGTTTGTGAAAAGTTTAGGTACCACGTAGCATTCAACTTCCTGCATTTCTGTTTCAACTCAGTTTAACGTATTTCAACGAACATAACATCAAAAATGGCAGCCAGTACCGGCTTCACCTGTCACGGAGAACGCTCAAAAAATTGAGTGTAGATGCTGGCCGGCACTCAATTTTTTGAGCGCCAGCTGACTGTCGTCTGTCGTGGCGCTCAATTTATTGAGTATCGCGGTCCCGAACGACAAGTGGCGCTCAAAAAGTTGAGCGTCTTTAGGGCATTTTCTTTCCAAAAACACCGATATAAATTATCACGGCGAGTGTTCGAGAAGAAACCTTGTTGCTCTCTCTTGCCATTGATACCTTATTTGGATACGATATTTGCCGTAGTGTGACGCTAAAGGCATTGTAAAATACCATCGTTTCGCCTATTCCTTCATAATGGGGCCCGCTCAATTTTTTGAGCGCTCAATTTTTTGAGCTTTTCCCCCTTGTGCGTGGGACTGAGGTATGGCTGCGGTTGGTGGCAGGCCGTAGCCAGGCGAAGTCAGCGAGGGGACCGGCCGTGCGCGGCTTTGTGCGCACGTTAAACTTTGGACTCTAAATTCTGCCATAGAATCGGAATTGCGCGATCGGAGGGTAGAGGGCAGGGTCATCGCAACAAGCTTCGCTTAGCGGTGGCTCTGTCCTTGTGAATCCTTCCCATCAAAAGGTTCGGACTAAATTTATTAAAAAAAAAAAAATATTTACTTTAGGTCCGCAATATTATTTTAACAAGAAAAAATGCACATTCTTACACTATTTGAAGTCCTGAATTCAGATATGATGCTTAAATGCATCAAAAAAATGTAAAATAAGATACTAAAACCCCAGCACATTACACCGCACTGCTGCACAATATACACTGAAGAAAGCACGCTTCCGAGACAAAAACGAAACATACAACGCTGCCCTATAAAAGAAAAAAAAATGATGCGGATATTCATTAGTTTTCGACGTTATGAAAATGACGTCATAATATCAAAGCACAAGAAAAACGGTGAATAAAAAAGAGAAAATATCTAGCAAAGTTAATAGAGCATGAGAAAATGATCAGAACATAACCAAACCTTACCTAACCTGACCTACTGATGTTTGCCTACTGGGGGAAAAGGAAAAAGTGACTTGCATGAATAGATTGCAAGCAATGGTAAGTCAAATTGCCTGTAATCTCTCCTAAGGCATTGCCTTCGGCACTGCACCGCTCCGCCTCGATTATTTTGACGTCACTTTCCTTACAATTTATTATCATCCGTAATTTCGCTCAACCTTGGTTGGACCATTTGTAGCGGGTGCGCCACGCAGACGGTCTTTTGACACGTGCACGGTGCAGTTCCGGTCGGAGGTAGGGCCGTTGGTGGTGATACTGGTGATACTAGTGTGCTGGTGTTTTTCAATTGGTTTCTAGAAGGAATAAGTATCAGAAATGAAATCAGGAGGTCTTAGAGTATCGTGTGAATGACTTTTATTTACCCCTGTTTTGCGGACCTAAAGTAAATAAATACCGTTTATCATTATGTCGCATTTCCTGTTTCAGTTTGTTTACATGAGCTCATTCAATTTGTTTTCCTCCTTTAAGTACCTACTTATGTGAAAACAGGTAATGCTGATCATTATTATGGAAATGTCATCCTCATGATCTGATGGTTTATCAGCAGGTCTGTTTTCTTAAAAGAACTTAAGAAAGTACTAAGTAATTCATTTCTGGAAGGTATACCCATTGTGTCAATAAATGAAAAATGAAACAGTTGAAAGTTTTACAGCAATCTGTCACCCGGTGTAGTTATGACAACCATTGGAACTTTTCTGAGGTGAGGTCATGTTACGAGACCTGGCGAGTGGTGACCTGACCTTGACTTCCTTGAGAGACAGGTGTCTGAAATTTTCACAATGTGCAGGAAAGATTATGATAGATTTGCCAAAAACGGTAGCTCTATGCGCCTCCATTTTTTGTATATGAAAACCACAGGGGATGTTCAAGCATACCCCCTTTCCCAACAGAGAGTGGGCTAGTGGCCTTTCTGCATCACTCATTGTGGTGAATGAAATAAAGACACCATTTAGATTATTCAATTCATTTACAATAGGGACATTATAATTTTGCTTACAAATAATATGTCATCACTGATCATGGTATTGTTGGCATGGCAATGTTTTAATGGTTGATTTGTTTAAAACTTTGTGTGAAATATCACTGTCCACTGAAATGTTTGAAGCTGCTCTCCAGTGACAATTGTTTGTTCCCTGTCTTGCTTTCCAGCTATCTGACTGGCCCGCATTTTTGTGAGACCGGTGAGAGGCCCTGACACAGCAATGATCACTGACGTGCAGCTGGCAGTGTTTGTCAACCTGCTGGGAGTCTCCCTCTTTTTGCTGGTGGTTGCATACCATTATGTTGCAGCCAACAACCCTAAGCATGCCTAATAACTGGTGAGTGACTACCTGGCACTGACATATTGGAAATGTGAATCCATGTGTAGAAAAAAAAAACTAAGAGACATGGAAAACATTATGGATAGACATTATACATTCATGATTCAAGAGACACTTTGTTGTTGTAAAGGGTACTTTTTCAATGACTTAAGTTTTTTAAGATCTTGCCTGCATTGTTATTGAATTTCTTGGTGATGTGTCAGTGAGCCTACTTGATGACAGCAATATTTAGTCATGCACTATCAGTGCCGATGATGAGCCATGTGATTGAGCATTGCTATGCTCTTACTACAGCCACCTGCCACACAGTTATAACATTTTTTTAATGCGTTATGTCGCACATTTTCAGATGGCTGGTTGCTGCGGCAGTGGAACTACTGCTGCGAGTCTCGGGGAAATGCCATACCCGTCTGCCACCGCACACAGCTCTGCACGCGGGCGCATTCTGGTCGGTGTGCGCCATTCCATGTCACATTTGGTGGGGTCCGTTTCAGTGATACTTTGCTTATGATTGCAAATAAAACGTGTGAAAACTGCGGTGTACTTTTGAACTCGTTTGACTCTATAGTAGATTGTGTCGTATTTTATAATTATCCTAATGTGTGGCGTTTAAACCACTAGGCGGGACACGTTATGCTCCGAGGCGAACGCGTCTAACGTTTCTAACCGCTAGCTGAGTATTTGTTAAAGTTTTTTTTTTTGCGTTAGGTTGCGTTTTTATGGTGCCGACTGCTGTTGTTCCATATCTTGGGAATTCGATCGGAGTTCAGGTTTGCCGCACGTTTGGAAGAGGGCTGCCCTGCTAGAGGATGATGAAGTACGACGTTGGGTGCCCAGACTAGAGGTGGCAAAATGTGGACCCGTGGACCCGGTCCAAAGAACTAGTCTGGACCCATATGGGTCCAGACCGGTTCCTGGAACTTTTCTGACGGGTCCAACCGGGTCCCACCATTAACTATACATCTTGCACACTACACATTACCGCAAAATATGAAGTGAATGGTTCTTTGCACACAGTATCTCATGAGTATTCCCAGTGGGAAATAGGCTGTTTTACATGATGCAACTAATGATACCTACAAGTAGGTAGTTTGTATTAATTGACTTTTGGGGAACGGGTCCAACTGGTTCCGATTCCAACTAAGACCGGGTCCGACTGGTTCCAGAAATGTCCAGCCGGGTCTGGTTCGAGTCTGGTTCCCAAAATTTTCATCTTTTGCCACCTCTAGCTCAGACAGTCTTAGTAAAATTATCATGGACAGGAGTCTATCAGCCGACATGCAATGACGATGTGGGGTATATTATTACATAACTGCAACAACACCAATTTTCCGCCAGTAAGACGCCTTTTGGGGCGACAAACGAGCGATTACGAGAGTGAGCCCTGCACGTGCGAGAGTGCGAGGGGACGTTTCCAACAGACTTGTGCACGGCACCCTACCAAGCGGTCTTTAGCGGTTCTGGAATTGTGGAAGCACGTGCAGACCGGGTCTCTACTAACTTTTGCGCACTGCATCCTACTCGGTGCCCTGCAACCTACTTTCTGCAAGTGGAGTGCAATTGACCCAGCTATTCTCTATAGTTGGAAGCGACTCTTGTTGATGACCACTGTAGTGAGTCCGGGCGCCCAAAAACCCCGACCCTTGCACGTATGCGCCGCAGTAACACCGCATCCGTGACACAGGAATTGCTCTGCTCCATTGGTGCCTGCCTACCCAATACCCATATGGCATGTTGCCCGTGATACATGCATTAGGAGTCACCCTCACAGTCCATGACTTTGTACCTAGAAGGGATGAAGTTGCCCTTCAAAAGATGAATCGGTCAAGTGGTTGCTGGGCTAGTGGGCATATCAGAAGCGCCGACTAAGGAATTTCCGTTATTTTAAGACTCTTTACAAGCGACTTCGCAGTCGCTCGCTCGCTCGCTCGATTGTAACAAACATACCTACAGTGATCAGTTTGACGGCTCAGTGTGTCATCACATAAATCGATTAATTACGTGAAGAAAAGCATCCCAAAAATGACCATCACCATGATGGCAGCCAGCCTTTTATGAGTTCGCGGCGACCCCTGTTTCGGATCCTGGCACCGGCGACGGTAGAAGTCCGCAGATGGCGCTGGAACGATACTCAGGTGAACAGACGGCTCTCTCAGGTCGATCGAGGGCTCCATAGATGTCGTGCCCCTATCGTGTACTCGGAGGGCCTTTCTGCAGTTCAGAGGGCCCGTGGCAAGCAATCAGGGCCCCTTAATGCGCTCAGAGGGCTTTTCTGTAGCTCAGAGAGCCCCGTCTAGCGATCAGGGGTCCCTTCATTCATTCAGAGGGCCCTCTCGTGTATTCAGAGGGCCTTTCTGTAGTTCAGACGGCCCCTGTTAAGCGATCAGGCAGCCCTTTCATGCCTATTAAGCCAATTATGCCAGCCCTATTAAGACAATCAGAGGGGTTTCCTGTAGCTCAGAGGGCAGCCGTCAAGCGATCAGGCAGCCCTTTCATGCTTTCAGAGGGCCCTCTCGTGTACCCGGAGCCTTTCTTTATTTTAGAGGGCCCCCGTCAAGCTATCAGGGGCCCCTTCACTAGCTCTGAATAGGGTCCCTCGGAATTCAACCAAACTATAAGAAATGAACATTGAATAAAGATTAAAAAAGAGGCCCCTAAAAATAAAGTGTCTGAAGTCCGCCCTAAAGGGCAGCGTGCATAGGTAAAGCCCCATACATGTGGCTTCCCCGATCTGAAACAGCCCGTCCCGGAACTTTTGAAACTTCGAAGGGCCCTGCCGTCAGCTTCGGGGACAGGGGCCCATGGAAGGCCCAAGGATGGTCCCTAGGGATCATAGGGACCCCCTTCGTTACGCCACTAAGGGGGGGGGGCACACCATAATAAACATAGATCAACCTAGGGTACCCCAAAATCTAGTTTTATCGCCGGTTATAGGCCACTTTTTATCCCTTGGCTTTTTCAACATAAAAGAAAACATTTGCAAAAAAGTGCAGCATTCCGTCTCAAAGTTGCGGGAGCACCGCCCCCACGGCCCAAGCCAGCTGCCCCCACTGCCCCCCCCCCCCTCCCCCGGTTCCCGCGCCTATGGTGTGATCTCGATAAAGTAGACGCACACGAGGGCAGCTGTCGGTGTCTCAGGGCCCTGTCCCCTCCTACTGAGGGGTGAGCGCTGGGTATCGCCGTTGATTGAGGCCAGTCCAGTGGGACAGGCTGTCAGTCAGCTTTTGTCGCTGCACGGGCAGTGCTGAGCTGTTCACTGCTGACACCGCGGACGGGGCGTTTTGGTTTGCGCTGACTGCTCAGTGATTGTCGGGGCCGGGCTGACCCGCACCTATCCGTCAGTCGTCCCCTGCCTTTCCGGCTACCGCTCCCCCCCCCCCCGCGCCCCTTCCTCGACCATGGGTAGTGTTCCACCTGCCCTGTCAAACATGTCCAGCCATGATCCCCGTCATTTTTCCATTAAGGGAGACCGGGACAAAGGGGATGCCCTGTGCTTTAGCCTTTTTAACTCGCGCCCTGGTGGGGTATTATTATAACGCGACCTGGTGTGGGGGGGGGGGGGCTATTTTTGCCCCTTCTCCTCGTCACTCTGAAATTACTGGACGGATTCGTAAATCTCTAACGGCGTTCAATATCCCTTTAAAAACTGTTTCAGGGAAATTAATTTCATTGAACTCGGGGTCACCGATGACGTCACAAGTCACGTCAAAGCAAAAGTTTTCACCGGTCATGGGTCTTGTAGGGAATGCGTTGCCTATAACATCGCGTAAAACGCATTTTATCGAAAATCGTCGATAGAGCGTCAGTTGTTTACATATGTTGCTAGAAAAGTTCACTGATACCAGGCCAGGTCAGCGTTCATGAACGTTCATGAGCGTTCACGAACTGTTCGTGAACAGACCACGGCTCGTGAACATGTGATCTTGAATGCCCAAGTTCTTAAACTTTCAAATAAACAAGCAAACATTCACGAACTGTTCGTGAACAAACATCCAAACACCAAACCCTGATTAAAAATCACGATTCCATGCGCATGACACATGACATAACATTGGTGCATTTTACACTACCTACACAGACACAGTAGGTAGGTAAAAAACACATAAAAACATGCCTGCAACTGTGTGCGTCACTGTCTGACTTTCGAGAGCGATAGCGCGAATGCTATCGGAAATGATGACTTGTTCATACGATCGTTAACAGAGAATTATTCTGTAACCTTCAGAATGAACGAATTCGTTTACTATCAAATTAACCCTTGCCGGTCCTATTAGTTTTCTACATACGCGCCGGCCGAGGGGGGTATGTACATAATATGTATGTACGACCCCCCTCGCCGTTTCGCCCCTGGTGGAGCTAGCGCGTAGCTTAACCCTCGCATGTGTGCGGCGTTTGCCAGCTTCTAATGTGTAGGGGGGGGGGGGTCGGTTGGACCCCCCCCCCTTGCCGTTTGGCCCCTGATCGAGCTAGAGCTTCGCGGAAAAAACGAGCGTGTTGCCCGTGACGAGAGGAAGCCGATGATACCCAATTTTAAGGTCCTAGGTCATTGGTTGACCTTCCAGGTCAGGTCAATGACCCAAAGTCGGGAAAATCGGGACCTGTTAGAAAGTCGTAAAGTGTGGCTGCTAAGGGGTTTTTCGGGGTGCTGATCACGAATATCGTGTTAGTTTTGATCACAGATGATGTCTTGAAGCATTTAGACCAGGTCGGGTCAGGTCAGGTCAGGTCAACCAGTAGGCGTCGTGACGGGTATTCGTAGTACGTGTCAACCGCCTCTGACAGCTTCGTAACATGTTACGAAGTCACCAAAACTACTTCGTAAATGTTCAAATGGTTGCTAAATTCGAATTCAGCTCCAAAAACTAGCCTAGAAACATGTAAAACTCGAAAAAGTGACCCGAGGTCACCCGAGGTCACCAAAGGTCAATGACCTGACCTGACCTTCAGGTGACCTTGACACACACGGGAGTAACATCAAATCACATGTTTGAACGTTTGAAACCACGAAAAGCTTGCAAACACGCGGCTAGTGCGAGCCGACATACGCGAAATCGCGATTCCGGCCAAACATGGTCTCAGAAAAGAGGTCACAGGTCAAAGGTCATTTGGGTCAGGGTCATGAAATTTTCAGGGTAGGTGTAAAATTGATCAATGCGAGGGTACTGAAAGTTTCGTCGCGATCGGCCGCTTTTTACGCGAGTTATTCGCGAAAAACCATGGGGGGGTCCATCCGACCCCCCCCCCTACACATGCGAGGGTTAAAAAAACGAGCGTGTGCGACGTTACGAGACGCAGAGATTGATACCCGATTTTAAGGTCCTAGGTCAACCGGTGACCTCTGAGGTCAGGTCAAGTGCCCCGAGGTACGGTTCCGTGGTGACTAACTTAGCAAAAAAAACGCCGCAGAGCCGTGATTTTGGCAGCATCGTGTTCGCCTCGCTCAGGCGCGTCGAATGATATTCCTACTTTTTGTTTGGGTGAGGTCAACTTAGGGTGTTGATTGTTGACCTCCGGCCACGATCAGGTCAGCGCCCCT